AAATAAAAATCATACTTCCATGTTACATCCATATTAAAGAGGAAAGCCAGTGAAAATTATAAAATACTTAGAACTGAATAATATGAAAGTATTAATGAAGTAGCATTAAGGAAATGAGTTTTGATATTATTACATGCAGTGGAAGTAATGGAAACACATGGATGCAGCAAAAGTGATACTTTAAGGAAAACTCATAGCCTTAAGTGTATTTACCAGAAAACAACAGCAAAAAAAAAATTTTTTAAGTCCCTAAACCTATTTAGAGCCAGAGAAAGTAAACAAGGTAAATTCAAAGAAACTAGAAATAGAAACTAGTATAAAAATAAAGATAATTATTGAATACTTAAGGAATAAAGACAAAAAGTAGATGGCAATAATAAAGATGCATATGATTTGTATAATGATGTATGAGCCAACTTAGGGTGGGGGAGTGAACATTGAACTTAATACCTTTGAGCTTCAGTTTCCTCATCTCTCAGTTGGACACAGTAATGCTGGCCTCTGCCCAGCAGTAGGTAAGATTTCCCCTAGTAAGGATTTGGCCTTGATAACACTTCCTTTTCCGTGTGCATCAGCACTAAAGATCATTAGAGTGAGGATTATGGTGTGCTCTTAAGGAAGTTTCGCATCAGGATATTACATCTGTGTCCCCTTACCTAAATTTTTCTTCTCTTCTTAAATCTCTCCTTTCCTCCTCTGCTGGTGCCTATTCTAGAGAGGCGCTTCAGGAAAAGAACACTGGGGCCGCTGAACCCTCAGACAGGCCAGTGGGAGCTCACACCCTGGATTCTGAATGCCCTGAGATACAAACTAAAGACCTGTATTTGGAGGCCAGGGTTTCCAACCACATTTACCACCTACTAGCTGCGTGGCCATAATAAGCAAACCTTTCAATCATTTTGAGTTTTGTGTCTGTATCAAATGGGATCATAATAATGCCTGTATTATAGGGCCCTTATGAGAATTAAATGGGATGATACATGAAAATATGTGATAAATTTGCAAAGTACTATAAAAATGTCAGTTATTATGGCAATTATTGTTATGAAAACTTATTCACCAAGAGTATACTCCAAAAATACTTCCTTGGTTCGAATATGACTTCTGTGCCTGTGGCAGTTGGAATTGGGATGGTTGTTCTTCTGGTTAGATGCCTGGCTTCCTGGGTTGGCTGGTCAGCCACCCAACAAGCTACCAATACTTCAGTGGATTTCCCAGCTTTCTAGGTATGTGGTTAAAGAGAATGCAAAGGAAACTTTAGGGAAAGGATTAAGGTAGAAAAAAGAAGGAGGAATCTTTTTGTTGTTGCCAAGAAAGTTAATTACCCTTACCTTTATTTCCTAGTTTCTCAGCTAGCCTGAAAAAGTAATTTTTGCTGAAGGTTAACAATTCATATATAATTCTTTTTGGTTAATTTTTAAAGCTTTTTTCTTTTTTGTACAACAAAGTGATTTGATATTCTTATGCATTATAAAATAATCACCATGAAAGTCTAGTAGTTATCCTCTCTCACCATACAAAGTTATTACAATACTATTGGCTATATTCCCAATGTTGTACATTATATCCCTTTGGCTTATTTTATAATTGGAAGGTTGTATCTCTTAATCTCTCACCTATTTTACTCATCTCCTGTAACCCTGCAATATATAATTCTTTTTCTAAAGCTTCTGTAATCTAGATTGCAATAGTGCCCAATAGATTTATAATGTAAGCCACAAAGGGAAGCCACACATGGAATTTGAAATTTTCTTGCCATATTAAGAAAGAAACAAATATGGTTGATTTTAACAGTATTTTATTTAACCCAGTATATCCAAACTATTATTGGTTGAACATTACTGATTGAACAATAGTTTTTAAAAAATTGGTAATGAGATATTTTACAGTTTTTTTTTATACAAAACCTTCAAAATTTGAGGTTCATCTATAGCCCATCTATTTGGACCTGCCATGTTTTAGCTTTTTGTAGAGCACAGTCAGGGTAGAGTAACATGTACCAGATTTGGGTTCCTTCAGTCATTCATTTATCAAGTATTTATTTATCCAGCACCTACCAGTGCTATGGTCTTGGTTCTGCAGCCAGTTTACCCGATGAATGTGGGCAAGTTATTTCTCTTCTTAGGGCTCCAGGTTCCCTGTTCCACCTTTGAGAAAATTAAGATATCCATGTAGGAAAGAGAGAAATCTAGCTGGAGGAAAATGCATCTGAAAATCATTAGCTTACTTGGTGGAGTTTTGAAAGACCATCGACACCAGTCACTTTCATTGATAGTTGGATGGTGCTCTCACAATCCTTTTATTGTTAACGTCAAAACTTGGTTGACCCCACAGGAATTTACTGGACGAATTAATCACACAAGTCTTATCCATGGAAATGGTAAATTGTCATGTTGATGGTGTTACCCAGGACGCAGATTTCTTTACCAATGTCTTATGAACCACACTTTTAAGGACTTCTAAGGAAGAACTAATAAAAACAAGTCATAAATTCCTTTGTGCTTTAGAAATGTTAAGTAATCCTTCCCGTCTATCAGTAGGTCTAACTGTGGGAAGTTGTCTGGGAGGTGTTGCAAGGAGTGGTGCACTATCTCAGTGCTCTCATCAGGCTTGGAAATAAAGTCATATTCATTAACTTGTAGGTGGCCATGACTTAGAATGACTGCAGCTTAAACAGGAAAAGGAAATAGAGCTATACTTCCTGGTAACAGGTGGCATTAGCCAGACAGCTAGGCTATCAGGTGAAATCAGTTTTTAACTTCTGTACTGGGAGAATGATTCTCACAGGTATTTAGAAAGAGAAAGAATGAGGCTTAGAAAATAGAAGTGTTGGAAACTTATTTAGTAGATACTGATCAGAATATCAAATATCACTTGTGGTTGCAGCCCAAGCCAGTATTGGTAATTGAGAGGCATGGAGACAGGCAGGCATCACAAGGGCTAACTCAAGTTCAGGTGGTAAGCATAGAAAAATAGTACCTGCTCTTTAACTTTGCAAAGATCTTACACAACATTGTCTCACTGGAGCATCACAACAGCTCTTCATGGTAAGATAAGGAGACAGAGGACCACAGTGAATGACAAAGATGTCTCTAAGAGTGATGCAGTTTGTTGTGTTTTTATCATCACTACTTCTTGCTGCCTTCCTAAGCTTCCCCACAACAGAAAAGTGGCCTTGATGCCTTATACAACTTGGGGCATGTGAAGAGCTTCTTAGAAGACTATATGTCTAGAGAGACCCCAGCAGTCAGACTTTCAGCTAATTGCTGAAAGAGAACTCAAGCATAGAAGTAGGTTGGCCTCTGTTCTCTCATATGTGTTGACCTTTCACTTTGCACAGGATGGAAGAAAGGGCAATTTTTCCAGTGATGCCAGCCACAGAAGATGTAGGATTATTGCTAAGAAACAGTTCCCTAGAACTGGACATAATGGACTTTATTAGAAAGGAAAAAAAATCCTAGATCCCATCTTATGTATAATAACCCATTCCTTCCCAAAGCACTTTATAATTTATAAAACTTTTTCAGACATAACCAGTTCACATGTGTAACAACTTCACAAGTAGAGAAAGTTATTACTTCTTGCATACAACGCTCTGTTGAGTTGAGTAAATGAATAAATGAATCTCCACGTTATGGATGAGAAAATTGAGGTCCAAAAATTGGGGAGACACAAGACTGAATCCCTTGTTTTCTGAGTTCAAGTCTGATCATGCTCCTATATGAGTTCTTCCTTAAGATATGGTTTCTGAACCTGCACCATGGAATATCACTGGGGGAAGCAGTCAGACTTTCCATGATGTGAGGATCTGGGGTTATCTCAGGTCTCTCCTGTCATTACTGATCATTTCTATAAATTAAATCATTATTCACTCTCTCTGGAAGAGCAGTAAAAAGATCAAATTGGCATTCTGTTTCCGAACTAGCCCAAGGCAGAGTGAAGATGGCAGTGAACAGTAGCCAAATTTCTAATCATCTCATCAAGAATCCAGAGCAGAGGAATTAATCCAAGAGCCATCAATCACAGGTGTAAAATAATGCCAACTTGGCAAAGAAAGTGGGGGAAATACACACACACAAACACACGCACACACACACATGTAAAATCCCCCAGCAGCACCTGGTAGTGAAATCCCAGTTTATAGGACAGATACCTTAACCAGGAAGATACTGCTTATTTATTCTCCAGGAATTTCAAGGGTGAAGCGAGAAATGTTAAAAGTTTAGAACTCCCGGTGTTTATAAGGAGGCCTCAAAGGAGGAATGATGGCCAATGATGAGAAAAGATGTAATTTATTTTTATAAACCGAGAGATGTTTCGATAGTGATTTCTTTCAGGAAGGTTTCAGACACTACTGGGCACCCAAAAGGGCAAGCATCTTCTATTAGGGATTTTCTAGAAATCAAGTCTCCAGACTGAAAAGGCCCTTCTTGAAATTGACATCTAGTGTAACCTGCTTGATCCTGGTTTGTCCGCCAACTGTTTCCAAAATGTTTCTGTCATGGTCCTCGAGCCTCCACTTGTTCCACAGCGGTGGACAAATCTGCCATCCTTTGAAGTATTGTTTCTCTTGATCTGAGTTCTGGAAAGTGTTGCCCTTATGTTGAGCCCAACCTGCCACCCTGATACTTCTACGCTGGAGCTCATTCCAAACAATCCCTCTTCAACGTGACAGCCTGTCAGCTGCTGAAGACATTAATTGTGATGCTTCTGTCTCATGCAGCCACACAGCTCTACACTAGTATCTCAGTCAGAGGGGATTCCCTGAAAATATTCCAAGAGGAATTAGGTTTCCAGGCCCATTGTCATCATGGCTGCCCTCCTATCCAGATTTCAGAATGGAAGTTGGACTTCAAAGATAGTCTGAACTGCAGAAGGCACTTTCTCTAGATGAGTTCCTCGTCGCCTACCTCTGACCTCAGAAAAATGCCCACTGAGAGGGGAGGGATTGCAGGATGGAAGGATGGTCTCTGAACTCAGGGAACTTTAGAGCGTTAGAAATGGCAGGGTCCATGACCTGGGACTGTTCTGGGTTGTCACAGCAACAGGCAGCACCGTGTCAATGCCTCAATGCTCTAGCCATCAGCGCCTGGTGCTGGCCCCTGCTTGTGGCTGTGGGCCCAACAGAGGGTGAGGGGCCGTGTTCTCCAGAGGGTCCTTCAGGGCAGGCTGGCTCTCCTTCCTGCAGCTTGGGCAGCGGCCCCATCAGGCCTAGTCTCGCCCCGGGAGGTTAGTTGAAATTTAATTTATTCTCTGCCAACAGCATGGCCTGTCCAAACTGGGCCTTTAGTCTTCTGAATACAGGTTCTATAATTTCAAGAGAGAAAACATGCCCACTAAATGGCCAGGGATTAAGTGGATAAGGCTGTAGAAAAGGGCAGTGAGAGGCAGAAGGGCATCAGCTATGCTCTGTGTTTGACATGAAACTCCCTTCCATGGATCATTCACTGATAAACATCACAAACCCAACCTCTTTCTTCTTAGATATGATGAAACAGGCCGAGAGAGAGGGGAAGTGACCCCCACACCCCAACAAGGGCACACAGTGCTGTGCAGGCAGAGGCTGAGAAGGGCTCAGTACCCACCTCTGGAGTCCAGAGAAGTTAGTCTTATTTTCCTAGGACCTACTGCTAAGGGCCACCCAAGATGGATGGGAATGGTGGGGGATTCTGACAAAAAGTGGCCCACTAGAGAAGGGAATGGCAAACCAATTCAGTATTCTTGCTTTGAGAACCCCATGAAAGTATGAGAAGACAAAAGATTTGACACTAAAAGATGAACTCCCCAGGTCAGTAGGTACCCAATATGCTACTGGAAAAGAGCAGAGAAAAAGTTCCAGAAAGAATGAAGAGACTGAGCCAAAGCAAAAACAGCACCCAGCTGTGAATGTGACTGGTTATGGAAGCAAAGTCTAATGCTGTAAAGAACAATATTGCATTGGAATCTCAAATGTTAGGTCCATGGATCAAGGTAAATTGAAAGTGGTCAAACAGGAGATGCCAAGAGTGAACATTGACACTTTATGAATCAGTGAGCTCAAATGGACCAGAATGGGTGAATTTAATTCAGATGACCATTATATCTATTACTGTGGGCAAGAATCCCTTAGATGAAATGGAGTAGCCCTCATAGTCAACAAAAGAGTCCGAAATGCAGTACTTGGTTGCAATCTCAAAAATGAAAGAATGATCTCTGTTTGTTTCCAAGGCAAGCCATTCAATATCACAGTAATACAAGTCTATGCCCCAACCACCAATATCAAAGAAGCTGAGGTTAAACAGTTCTGTGATGACCTACAAGACCTTCTAGGACTAACACCAAAAAAAAAAAAAAAAAAAAGATGTCCTTTTCATCATAGCGGACTGGATTGCAAAAGTAGGAAGTCAAACAATACCTGGAGTAATAGGTTAGTTTGGCCTTGGAGTACAAAATGAAGCAGGGTACAGGCTAACAGTTTTGCCAAGAGAATGCACTGGTCATAGCAAACACCCTCCTGAAACAACACAAGACACAACTCTACACATGGACATCACCAGATGGCCAATACCAAAACCAGATTGATTACATTCTTTGCAGCCGAAGATGGAGAAGCTCTATACAGTCAGCAAAAATAAGACTGGGAGCTGACTGTGGCTCAGATCATGAACTCCTTATTGCAAAATTCAGACTTAAATTGAAGAAAGTAGGGAAAACCACTAGACCATTCAGGTATGGCCTAAATCAAATCCTTATATTGGAAATGACAAATAGATTCAAGGGATTAGATCTGATAGACAGAGTACCTGAAGAACTATGGATGGAGGTTCTAATCTAGAGATCTCTTCAAGAAAATTAGAGATACCAAGGAAACATTTCATGCAAAGATGGGCACAATAAAGGACAGAAACAGTATGGACCTAACAGAAGCAGAAGATATTAAGAAAAGCTGGCAAGAATACACAGAACTATACAAAAAAAGATCTTAATGACTGAGATAACCACATGGTGTAATCACTCATCTAGAGCCAAACATCCTGGAGTGTGAAGTCAAATGGGCTTTAGGAAGCATCACTACAAACAAGCTAGTGGAGGTGATGGAATTCAGCTGAGCTATTTCAGATCCTAAAAGATAATGCATTAAAGTGCTGCACTTAATATGCCAGCAAATTCAGAAAATTCAGCAATAGCCACAGGACTGGAAAAGGTCAGTTTTCATTCCAATCCCAAAGAAAGGCAATGCCAAAGAATGTTCAAACCACCATGCAGTTTAATTCATTTCACATGCTGGCAAAGTAATGCTCAAAATTCTCCAAGCTACGCTTCAGCAGTACTTGAACTGAGAACTTCCAGATGTTCAAACTGGATTTAGAAAAACAGAGGAATCAGAGATCAAATTGCCAACATCTGTTGGATCACAGAAAAAGCTAGAGAATTCCAGAAAAGCATCTACTTCTGCTTCATTGACTATGCTACAGCCTTTGACTGTGTGGATCACAACAAACTGTGGGAAATACTTAAAGAGATGGGAATACCAGACCACCTGACCTGCCTCCTGAGAAATCTGTATGCAGGTCAAGAAGCAATGATTAGAACCAGACAAGGAACAACAGACTGGTTCCAAAATGGAAAGGAGTACATCAAGGCTGTATATTGTCATCCTGCTTATTTAACTTATACACAGAATACATCATATGAAATACCAGGCTAGATGAAACACAAGCTGGAATGAAGATTGCCAGGAGAAATATCAATAACCTCAGATATGCAGATTATACCACTCCTATGTCAGAAAGTGAAGAGGAACTAAAAAGCCTCATGATGAAAGTAAAAGAGGAGAGTGAAAAGCTGGTTTAAAACTCAAGATTCAAAAAATGAAGATCATGGCATCCGATCCCATCATTTCATGGCAAATAGATGAGGAAACAATGGAAACAGTAACAGATTTTATTTTCCTGGGCTCCAAAGTCACTACAGATGGTGACTGCAGCCATGAAATTAAAAGACGCTTGCTCCTTGGAAGAAAAGCTATCACCAACCTAGACAGCATATTAAAAAGCAGAGACAATGCCAACAAAGGTCCGTCTAGTCAAAGCTATGGTTTTTCCAGAGTCACGCATGGATGTGAGAGCTGGACCATAAAGAAAGCTGAATGCTGAAGAATTTATGCCTTTGAACTGTGGTGTTGGAGAAGACTCTTGAGAGTCTCTTGGACTGCAAGGAGATCAAACCAGTCAATCCTACAGGAAATCAACCCTGAATATTCATTGGAAGAACTGAAGCTGAAGCTGAAACTCCAATACTTTGGCCACCTGATGCGAAGAGCCAACTCATTGGAAAAGATCCTGATGCTGGGAAAGATTGAAAGCAGGAGAAAGGGACGATAGAGTTTGAGGTGGTTGGATGGCATCACCGACTCAATGGACATGAGTTTGAGGAAATTCTGGGAGTTGGTGATGGACAGGGAAGCCTGGCATGCTGCAGTCCATAGGGTTGCAAAGAGTTGGACAAGACTGAGTGATTGAACTGAATTAGGAAGTCTTCATGGCGGGAGGCACTTAATACAGTTCCCCCTTTCTTCACCCAATCCCCACAGGTGGGAGGCAGCCTCATAACCACTGAATTTTGATTTTCCACCTTGATAGCCTAAGTCTCACACTGCACATGAACTGTGGGTGGCGCCCACACTGGATCCCAGTGACAGGAGACCTCAACCTCCAGGCCTCAGGCCCCCATGTAGCCTAGCCCAGATTAGTCACTGAGCTCTCTTTTCCAGCTCTGACTTTCCATGATCATTCTGTGGTCAGGCCAGGAATGTTTACTTACATTGCAGAGGGATTTCAACCACTGTCAGTGAATTCTTAAGGAATCTCTGCCGCTGCCAATTGCTTCTTTCACTGTCATGGGAGAAGGAAGGGCTTTGTGGATGTGACTGGAGGTCCTAAGGCAGCTCTGCTGTTCCTGTTGTGTGGGCCAGGGGAAGAGGCTCCAGCTTCCCATGGGCTGAGCTGGCACCTCACAGGAGCCAGTCCCTTGATCTGTTCAGTCTCCCAGGAAGCCTTCACCAGGCCTTTGAGCCAGGTTCAAGGGAGGTCCACATGCTGCCACAGCATCGCCAGTGCCATCATCATACTGCCATGTGGCTGCCTCTCCATGGTGCCATGTTAACCCCAGCACCTGGCCTATGCTGGATATCCATCTTACTCGTAACAACTAATGAAATGGGCAGAGCCTCTCCACGGAGACAGAAAGGCAGGACAGGAGTGAGGTCGTGGGGGTGCTTGGAATTACCCTGCTTCTGCTTGTTATATTACTTGGGCAAGTCTCCTGCCTCCTGTTTAATACTTAAAGGAGTCTGATTGGATGAATATTTTCCAAAAAGGTCTAAGAACACAGGTCTCTCTGTATTTTTCAGCTTCCAAAATGCTCTAAAAACATGGGTTTCTTGGTATTTTTCAGGCAAAAAAAAAACCACAACAAAACACGTAATTTAGATGATGTGGCATACATACTACAGCTCCCTCTCAGAGACTCATGTACATAGTAGGATATTAAAGGCTCTGAGAAGTCCCAGAGAAAAGATGTCAATTTAATTTTATTTAAACCAACTTTATCCAAAATCTCCTGGCCTCCTCCTCCTCCCTGAAGAACTGGTGTTTTGAAGCACACAGCCTAGACGATTTCTTAGTCCCCTTGAAATATACCCTACCCAGAGATGCGGTAGTCTGATGTAGGGAAAAGACCAGGGACTTTGGAGGCAGACAGAGCTGGGTTTGAATCCTGGCCCTGCTTTATGGTAGCTGTGCGGCCTTAAACAAGTTACTTAACTTTCCAGACTTGGATGTCCTCATCTGGAAGATGAGCATGATAACACCTGCTTGTGAAGGTTGTAGGTTGTTGAGAGAATTCAATGAAATAACAGGTATGGAACACCTAATACAGTGTGTGACACATAAATATCAGTTCTTTTGCCCCATTACTCCTGACCCTCTTCTCTCATCTCTCACCCCCACGCCCCCCAAACCTAGAGCCAGCCATTGGCAGGGCAGAGAATGTAGGAGGTGCGCTGAGTCTAAGTCCGCACATGATTCTGATGGTGTTCTCTCAGTTTCATGGAAGGACCACACCTCAGCAGGACCAAGGTGAAGGGGCCA